GGATGAATCCCTTGATATAACCATCAAATGACTCACATAGAAAATAAAAATTTCTGCATTGAAGGATTTCCTTTCTAGTCTCAATAAAATCTTAGGTATATAGTTCAGTTCTGAGGCTTTATGGCTTAAATCTTTGCTTCTGACTTTGTTATAATTATTGGCTGTATTGATTGTGTTCTATTTATAGAGTAACAATTTCTTGTGCCTCTCGATGTTTATTCAAAATTCCAATTAAAATAATGATGTCTAAATGACTTGAAATTGTTGATCATATCTATAGTTCTATGTAAAATAATGGGCATGCACAATGTACATACATAAGGAGGCTGGCATAAGTCATATTGGTTGGAGATTGGCATAAGTCATATTGGACAACTCAGAAAAGACGATCAGTCCTTGTCAAGAATACTTAAGTTGAAAAAATTTAAATTTCATATATGATCCAGCAATCCTACTTCTGGGTATCTACCCACAAGAATTGAAAGCAGGACCCCTTCAAGAGATCTTTGTACACCCATGTTCATAGAATTATTCACAACAGCCAAAATGTGGAAGTAACCCACGTGTCCATTGGCAGATGACTGCATAAGCAGAATGTGCTGTTTACACACGATGGAATAGTATTCAGTCTTAAAAAGGAAAGAAATTCTGATACATGCTGCAATATGGACCTTGAGGAGAGTGTGCTAAGTGAAATAAGCCAGACACAAAAAGAAAAAAACAGTATGATTCCACTTCTATGAGGTTCTAGAGGAGGCAAATTCATAGAGGCCAAATAGAATGGTGGTTGCTGGGGGCTGGGGTGGGTGAAACAGGGAGATACTGATTAATGGGTACAGAGTTTTGGTTATACAAGATGAAAAGTGTTCTGAAGATTGGTTCCACAACAATGTGAATATACTTACCATTACAGAACTCAAAAGTCGTTAAGATGGTAAATTTGACATTTTGCCAATTAAGAATTTCTATTAATAATTTTTTAAAATCCTGTTTACAAAATCGTAAGGAGGCTCAGAATAAATCCAATGAAAGATATGCAATATTTTAGGAAGAAATTTATAAAACTTGAATGAAGACCATTAAAGAAAAGTTAGATATTGGCACGCAAGAGGGCAGGATCTCCAGGAGGAGCAACATGGACGAATCCAAAAGCATGTCCTCAAGGCAAATGTGAAGCTGTGGGTTGGTGAGTATGATATCACATTTACATACCACTTGACATAAAACAATGCTCTACAATAATTGTTGGACAAACACATGTAGAAAAAGGAGAAAGTAATACAAGGAGCTCTGAATATAAGGAAACACTCACTGAAACACCTGAAGGGAGCTGTGAAGCCGAGCAAGGGGGCAGATATGGAGTGTTTGGTTTGTCACAGCTCGAATTTGAAGCCTTCACAGTCTTGGCTTGGAACTGGTGCTACCGATTTCTCTAGGTTCAATGCCAACTTCATGGACTGCAGGTGGAGAAGGGCCAGGGGCTCAGGGCACCTGCCTCCATCTGCACCCCAAGAGCCAGCTCCTTCCTGAGACTGACTCCGTCCTGTTGCTGCCCTGATCAGATGTCCCACACAGCAGGTAAGAGGCAGGATCAAGAGCCACCTCATATGTATAGATATTTTGATGGTTTCCGATATTTTGCAATTACAAATAGGCTACAATGAATAACTTTATGCACAGGAATTTTGTGCGTATGTTGCAGGAGGAAGAACTCCTCTTCCATAAAACAATCACTCTTAAAGAGTTCACTTATAGACTTTTATTCCATGTATCTCTGTCTCATTATTTTTGAAAATATCATCATACCAACTTGATTTTCTTACTGACAAATTTCGTAGCAGAGATGACATGAATTTACTGACTTATAGTAAACCTAGGCGCCAAGTAAATGTATTATGTTTAATGCTGATGACTCTAAAGACAACTCCACACTAATCAAACCAATAACTCAAAGTTGTTTCACTTACTGAAGATGAATCCTAGAGCACGTGATCCTTTAAAAATCTGAGTTAGTTTTGGGTAATGTTTAGAAATATTTGATTTTTAAGTGGTTACTTTGAAGTCAATTAGAGCTCTTTTACAAATGAAATTTTGATAATATTATCTGGATGTACAAATATATCATATTTATAATGTACACGCAGACAGACAGACATCCAGGTAGACACAGACAGAGACCTCATAGTTTTCCTGCTTGAGTTTTAAAAGGCCTTCCTCCTCCCTCTAACCCCTGCCCTTTATTTTTAATTCTTTTTTGGTATCAAGTTCTTCTAATTGAGCCGAGGCTGCAGCCTCTCAGGCAACATGGGCTGTGTCTGCCTTTCAAGGACGTGGAAAGGGTTATAACTTCAAGTTGTCTCCCAGGAGTCCTATTTCTCTTTTGAAAAGATGTTTTATCAAGCTGGCTTCTTTTAACTGTGCATGCAAAAATCAGTTTGGGAATGTCAAAAGCACTCCATCCTGACCATTTGAGGGTTAGATTAAGTACTTGCAAGTATTGGCTCCACACCAAGTGAGGAACCATTAGTCCTCTTCACCTAGGAGATGTATCAGTACTCTCTCAAGTCTAGAAGTCTTAAGATCACCGTTCAAATAAAAGTCATGGACCACCACCTAATACAAGGAGCTCTGAATATAAGGAAACACTCACTGAGACACCTGAATGGAGCTGTGAAGCCGAGCTGCTCAAGGGGCCCATGCCTGGTACCGAGGGCCAGTCCAAAGTAGACCTCAGGTGGGATTTTGTGTGATCAATGTCGATAGCAATGTCAATGAAAATAATGATTAAACAATCTCTTATAGGAATAGAAAAGAGTTTTATCTGAGGGAAACTGAGGATTACAATCCAAAAGACAGAACAAAGACCATCAAACAAGTCAGGGAAACATTCCTTTAAGGTTATAAAAACAAACACTTACCCAGTAAGTCAGTGTGGCCTTGGCTCCTGGGAAGGGAGTTCATGCAGGGAGGACCAGCACTGGCATCCCAGGAAGGGAGGCATTTCATCTTTATTCTTCACATGAACATTCCTTAACTGTGATCACTGCACCCTTTACTTTAATGATCAAAGCAGACGTACAACATATGTTTGATAGGCCACACACAGGCTGTTTTAGTTACATAAAACTTGAGTTAAATCACGTATAAGTCCAGAATGACTTCCCCATACCTGAGGATGTGAAAATTTCTTTCCAGGAAAGTCTAGGAGAGGGAACCTTTCCTATGAAGAAGAAGGGGAGACATGGAAAGGCTTCCACAACCTGGAGGGCCCCCCATGACGCTGCTCAGTTTCAATTCCCACCCCCTTTCTTTAATGCTTCTCAATTTTGAGGGGAACAAGAAAGGAAATGAAGTTGTGGATGGAGAGGCTAATCATAGACTCAGCTGGAGAACTCGGCTTTAGTGGGACTCAGTCACAAACAGAGCAGCTCATGCTATGCCAAACCATGGGCAACTCCATGGCCAGCTGCAGTAGGATCTCACCATTCCCCACCCCTTTCCTTTTCCCCAAATAATGGAGCCATATTTTAGGAGGCCAGGATGCTCCTAGTAGTCCCACTACTGCCACCACTGTTTGTTTGTATGACCAAGACAACCCCCACGCCCAGATATTTGCCAGAGGGACTCGGGGGGCTCAGTGTAGAGTTGTCCTCACTCCTGAGACTCACCACAGTGGTGCAGGAAAGATGCACGTTTGAATCCTAAGAGAAAAACACACAGACAAAGATAAGAATCCATGTGCCTCTTCCTTCCACCTTTTCCCTTCCCTGAGGGGTCCTGCAGGGGGTACTCAGATTTCACCTTAAGAAACTAGAAAAAGGATGGACAGGACCTTGGCAGATGAATGTGGAAGGCAAAGGGATTTATAGACGACAGCTCTGAAGTGGGTTATGTGTAGTAATCATGTGTGTATATTTACACATTTATATATGAGCTAATAGGAGGATCTTCTGAAAACTAGTAAAGAGAAAGAATAATGGGGAAAAAAGATCTGAGGCATTTTTGGCAAAATAATACATTTATTACACATGATTGGCAGATAGATTGCTGCTGATTATTCTCTCCAAGTTTGAAAAGAATTTCAAAATAGTAC